CATTTGTCCCCCGTCTGTGTCTGAAGTTACAGCAGAGCGTTGCGGCTCCGGTGACCCACTTTGTCTCTCTCCCTTTTTCCCTCCCCGCACGTGACAAAATAGGAAAGGAGGAGGGATGGGGGGTGGGGGGTTGTTTTGGAAATGGCATTTGCAGATAAGAGCTGGATGATGGTGGCATGTGTTTAAGTGTTGGTGAGAGCTGCTTTTTGGGCCTTAACGCGCCCTCCCCTCAGCGCGCTGACTGGCAGATCAGCCGCTTGGCGAGCTCATGCTAACCGAGGGCCAGCGGGCAGTTTATGGTCACTGTCATGGGAGTGTGAGTTTACAGGCTTTTCTCTGTTCCTGTTCCAGGAATTTGTACCGCACTGTGCAACTTAAGGTAATGCAATAAAGAAATTGTGCAATAAATTGGAGGAATTTTTTTGTTGTACTTTTTGTCTGTAAAGAGGGAAAAAAAAAAAACAAGGACGAAAGTATGCACAGCTCCACCGCTGGATGGCTCTCATTTGTTGAACGGTTTGTGTCTCAGTACTGGCGTTGGTTTGGTTTCCTCCGTCGTAAAGCTAGCAGGAGTGGAGGGAGGGATTGCGCAAGGATATTTTGTGGCACTGTTCCTGTAAATGACTGGTGGTATTGAAGCCACAAACAAGATGTAAAAGTAAAAGGATTCACTTCTTTGTGAATTAAGGCAGTAAGTTTCAGATGCGGTGCCTGGCAAAAGTATTCATACCCCATGAAGCTTTTCACTTCTTACCACATTAAAACCACAAGCTTAAGTATTCTATGGGAATTTTAATTAATAGACCAACTCAAAGTGGTGCATAGTTAAGTGGAAGAAACACTGCTGCATAATTTTCAACTTTACAAATGAAAAAAAAAATTTCATTTGTTCCCCCTTTATCCCGATACACACAAATGAAATTCAGTGCAATCAGTTGCCTTCAGAAGTCGACTATATTCTGTGTGATTTTAACATGAGTGTAAATCAACTGAACATTAACAAAAAATTAACTAAGAAACTCAACACAAAGAAAATTAACTTATATGGCAACATCTTTGACCACAGAGAAATAAAACATTTTAAGACATATGGAACAAAAATGAACAACAGAGAAAGGATTAAAATGTAAGCACGAATAAAACACCTAAGGATGGTGATGAGGATTCGTTTTATCATCAAATGCAGTTTAGGAACATTTGGATTTAGATCTTTATATTTTCCAGTTCTAGCTCAGTATGAAAATAAAATCACATGGAAATATTTTTTGTATTTCCAGACTGTCCGAATGCCTAACATGTTTTGTCCTGCCTTCATTGTGTCCTTCTTTTAGGGCTGAGTAATAATATCGATTTTGCGATATATATCGATATTTTCTTTCCTGGAAAAAATCAATAATCATCCGCAAGTATCGTAGCATCCAACTGTCACCTTGCTCACTCACTGCTTGCTTCGCAGGGAGAGTGATTAGGTCATCAGGCTTAGAGTGATTCCTTCAGATGTTAAGTGTCAAGGTTAAAAAGGTATCAAACTATTCAGAGCAGGTACTTGGTGCACTTTATTTACTTTACAAATGCATGTAAGCTACAGTTTGTACTGTTTCAATTAAAAGAAACATATTTTCTCACCACTTCTTTGATTCATTAAGTCTGTGTCCATGTCCAACCAGAGCCAGGTATTGTGCAGTTGGTGCTTTTAATCAGTTTTCAGTTAAATTAATTCAATCCAACTCTGTAACAGTCACAAAATGTCACCAAAATCACTCTGTCCCTCTAAAATCTTATAGAATAACGCAAAACTGTATTGAATTGTATCGTTTGCTGAATATCGCAATACATATTGTATCAGGAGCAGAATATTGTGTATCGTATTGCATCGTGAGATTATTGTATCACTACAGCCCTACCTTCTTTCCTAACATACGTCTGTCAGTTTTGCTTTTTTTATCCTTGCTGACTGGAGGTAATTACTCACCTCCAGTTTCTGCTATTCACAGCTTCCGTATTTAAAGCCTTTCCAGTGTTTTACATTGTAAGATGAACCAGAAGGTTTGGGGAATCTGGAAAGACTGAATATGGAAAAGTCTGGAACCTTCGCATCTAAAATGTGTATTAACCAAGTCCTAAGTCTGAAATGTGTCGTCTTCTTCCAGGCTGTGAACTGTAAAGGCCAACACAGCATCTCCTACACGTTGTCCAGGCACCAGACGGTGGTGGTGGAGTACAGCCATGATAAAGACACAGACATGTTTCAGGTGAACGCCCTGTTTAATTACGTGCTTGGTTGTAAAGGAGGCTGCATCTAAATCTCCCATGTTTTAATTAGAAGCTTGTACATTTGGAAATGATGTTAGAAAAAGACATAGTAATGTTTAAAATGTTTGTTTTAAAACTCTCAGTGACGAGGCAAAAGATTTTTTTTTCTTACATTCGAAAGCCAGTACATAATGCAAAAATATATATAATACAGACTTTATTGGAAAGTTCGAAAGAGGGGCGAAATGAGTTTCACAAAACAAGAGACGTTCACAAACGAAGGATTTTTGAAGTTCTCAGAGAAGAAAAGTGACGAAATGAAAGAGGAAATGCTTATTTCTACCTCAGGTTTCCTCTTCATCACTCAGATGCAATGCTTAAAGCTAAGTTTGAAGACGTATTACCCCCAACTAGCCCCGCCCCCCCTTTCACAAAATATAATAATCTTTCCGTTTAGTGTGTGGTTTTTGGGAGCACTATCTCAGGATTTCCCAGTGTTTTATTTGAAGCAGCACAAAGCCATCTGAATCTGAAACTGAGACAGTTTTGCCGCGTTTTTAATAAACGGATGCTAATTTTGAGACTGACGGCAGCAGCACGTTTAAAAGCGGAGCTGAGACAGGAACACGAAAAGGTCAGTCGCCTACAGGTTAGTAACATGTTATAAAAAGAGCCTCTGAGAGGCTGAGGAGCCGGGCGGGTGGGGTCCGCCGGGTGGGCCTGTAATATAAACACCATGATTTCTGTCTCAAAGTCGCTACACGGCTCCACGTTTGGTGGCCTGTAATAGAAGTTAGAGTGGCTTGCAAAAATATTTATACTCCTTGAACTTTTCCACCACTTCACAACCAAACACTTCAGTCTATTATTACTGGGAATTTATTGGGAGGAGGGGTCGGCGGCTTTTATCGTCCAAAAAGCTCCTTCTCCCTTTCTAGAGCTGCAGAACACTAACCACAATCTACGTTTAAGTAAAGACACATATATTATACATCTAATTTTATGTTTTAGAGCAAACAAAAACAATTAAAACATTTATTTTACCATATTTATGAAATAAAAAGATATTATTCAGAGCATATTGACTAAAGAAAAATACGAAAGAAACAAAATAAATAAAATTACGAGAATAAAGTCATAAAATTACGACAAGAGAAAAAGTTTACAAAGCCCTCATATAAACTGACTGGTGTATTCTCCTAAAGTAATTTCCTGTTATTGTTTGGTTGTGTTTTAGAGCAGCATGGGTAACCAGAAGGTCAGTGCTAAAACTGAACAAGAACACCGGTTGTAAAATTTTATTTCCACACGAGAATGCCATGCTATGCCGTGCAGAGAAGCGAGTTTGTTTGATGAATGTTCATTTCCACGCCGAACTGCTGCGCCTTTAGACGCTAACAAACAGGATTATTTGATTGCCGCTGAAATCCTGAATCAAGCGAGAATGGTGAAAACACTTTGCTTTTATTTCTGCGTGAATTGGCCTGCTTACATCCCAAATGTTTACTCCGGCATTAGTGGAGACGGAGGTGACGCAACACGGTAGTAAAGGTGCCTCTGGCCCGACGCTTTTGAAACCTGCTTTTAACATCAAGCCGACGTTGAGCTTTCAAAAACAATCAATTTCTCAGTTTCATCATGTTCAGTGTTTATTTTTCTCGTTCCTAATTCCAGGGGTAAATATGTTTTGAAATTGTAAACTTTATTGAGGGCTTCAATGAGCTGAATGAACGATTTGTTGTGCAGATTGGACGGTCCACGGAAAATCCCATAGATTTTGTGGTTACTGACACCGTAGCGGGAGGCCAGGATGGAGAGGAGACTCAGATCACCCAGAGCACCATCTCTCGCTTCGCCTGCAGAGTCGTCTGCGAGCGCAGCCCCCCTTACACTGCTCGCATCTATGCGGCCGGATTTGACTCCTCCAAAAACATCTTCCTCGGGGTAATTACTAGTTGCTATTGATTTAAGGGGTTTCGTGAACTTCTACGTCAGTTCAGGGGACGGAAGTATTCTTTTAATATAATAAAATACTATTTCTGCACCAGGAAAAAGCAGCAAAGTGGAAGAACCCTGATGGCCACATGGATGGGCTGACGACCAATGGGGTGCTTGTAATGCACCCTAAAGGAGGCTTTATGGAAGAGTCCAAGCCCGGCGTCTGGAGAGAGATCTCCGTTTGCGGAGATGTCTACACTCTGAGAGAGACCCGCTCGGCGCAGACCCCAGGAAAACTGGTGTGTTTACATACAACAGCTGCAAACTTAAATCTCATGAGTTTTATTATGACATTATGTTTTATTATGGCTACTTTATGTTAGACCAACATAAAGGAATAATTTGCTTGGAATAATTTTATTCGGCCCGCAGATTAAGAATGGTACAAATTTGACCGTCTAAGCTAATAAGGTTAGAGGGTCAATTTTTTATGATGATATATTTATACATTTTTATGATGATACCTAAAATATTTAGTACAACAATTTTTTTTTTTCTTTTATTAGCCATGCTTTTTTACTTTGATTTTAATATCGTTGAAGTCTGACTCAACAGACTTGAGCACTCAGCCATTAAACTTGGCAAAAGACATCAAGGATTTTTGAAGAAAGTTCCCGTCTCTGTTCCTGAGATTACACTGAAAATCAAACCAACAAAACAGAAAACTTTCTAACAAAACAGTTAGCAACGTATACACCTTTCCTTTATTAAGAAAAACATCCGAGACCGTTTTCAGTAAATTGTTGTCTTGTACTTTGTTTCATGAAAATATTGCATGGTTCAATCAGAAAAATGAAAGATTTCTAATAAAATAAAATTACACAGCATTTTTAAGTAGGAAAAGTATGACCCCTGAGTGATTTTGGCCCTAAGCGCAAAAACCTTAAACCACTGATGTAGAGGTTCTAGTTGTGGCTCAGGCTGCACGTTTAGCGTCATTGTTCTGCTAGAAAGCAGGGAAGGTAGCAAACATTCAGCGCAGTCTTAAATCTTTAACAGGTTTTATTAGGTATTTTTTATGTAACTGAACAGCTGTGTGTAATTTTGTCGAACTTAAATCAGTCTCCCTTTTTCCAGGTGGAGAATGAGAGTAACGTCCTGCAGGACGGCTCTCTGGTGGACCTGTGTGGGGCCACTCTGCTGTGGCGCACCGCAGAGGGTCTCTTTCACACTCCCACCCAGAAGCACCTGGAGGCCCTGAGGCAGGAGATCAACGCGGCACGGCCCCAGTGCCCCGTGGGTCTCAACACGCTCGCCTTCCCCAGTATGCAGCGCAGTCGGGCCCTCTCCTCTCTGGAGGACAAGCAGCCGTGGGTCTACCTGGCGTGCGGGCACGTGCACGGCTACCACAACTGGGGCCACCGCTCCGAGCGGGAGCCCAACACCCAGCGGGAATGCCCCATGTGCCGGGTGGTGGGACCCTACGTCCCGCTGTGGCTGGGCTGCGAGCCCGCCTTCTACGTGGACACGGGCGCGCCCACTCACGCCTTTGTGCCGTGTGGACACGTGTGCTCGGAGAAGTCGGTCAAGTACTGGTCGGAGATCCCTCTGCCCCACGGCACCCACGCGTTCCACGCCGCCTGCCCCTTCTGTGCCACGCAGCTCGGCCCCTCTCAGGGCTGGTCCAAGCTGATCTTCCAGGGCCCGGTGGACTGATCCGAGGATCCCTGCTGCCGGAACGTTCTGGGAAACCGATCAGATAAAACCCGTGCGTCATTTATGCAAACCAGCCTCGAAATGGAATGAGTTTGCTTGAGTTTTGGCCGTTTACGTGGATCCTGTTCAACAGGGAGCCATTACAGATTGTTTAGGAGCTTTTCGGACGGAGTCAGAGAGTGCTCTGTCCAGACAACCAGTTGTTTTATGCAAGGCTTCGTCGTCAGGGTGTTTCGCAACACTACCATCAGATTGCTACAGAAAGTCTCTTAAACGAATGACTTTTTTCTCCTACCAGGTGTCTTTGGGTCTGTTGGGAAAGGAAACAGTTGTTTAGTTTCTGATGGGACGGAGCTTTCACAGAGCCAGACAGCTGGACTGTTGGCTGGGAGAAAAGCCAGAAGGAACTTTGGGGTTTAACGGCTAAATAGCCCAAAAAAAAAAAAAACAAACAAAAAAATGCCTCCAATCGTTCCTCTTGGTGGTAAACTCTTAATGGCATCCAAATCACGTAACTCGCTAGAAGTGGCTTCCATTCACCGAACAAACTTTGATTTGTACAGAGATGAAATCCAGTGCCTGAGATCCCGATAAAACAAAGTGGGAATATTTTTATTAGAAATTGAAAAAAAAAAAAAAAAAAATATATATATATATATATATATATATATATATTT